GTGGTACTATTACTTCCTGTTACACACCTGGAGAAAATTTCAGGGCTCTCATAAGATGTGCTACTGGTATATTCGTGATACAACAGTGTTTTCTGCTTCAGCAACCGCCTGCCTAAAATAATGATTATATGACTCTTGTACTACATCATGATTAACTTAGCCTAGGAATTACTTTGCCCATTTCAAAAAGTAACCATGTTCTAAACAATGAGATGTGGGGTTTAGATAGTAACAAATCCCAAGATTTTGGTATCAGTAAACCCTCTCATATGACTGTGACTCTAAAATACATTACAGGAGGGGGCCGGCGCTGTGGCGCAGCAGGTTAAAGCCCTGGCCTGCAGTGCCGGCATCCCATCTGGGCGCCAGTTCTAGTCCCGGCTGCTCCTCTTCCTATCCAGCTCTCTGCTATGGCCTGGGAAAGCAGTAGAAGATGGCCCAAGTGCTTGGGTCCCTGCAACCATGTGCGAGACCGGGAAGAAGCTCCTGGCTCCTGGCTTTGGATAGGCCCAGCTCTGGCAGTTGTGGCCATCTGGGGAGTGAACCAGCAGATGGAAGACCTCTCTCCCTGTCTCTGTCTCTCTCTCTCTAACTCTGTCTTTCAAATAAATAAATAAATCTTTAAAAAAATATATTAACAGGAGAAGTGTTTTTAGAACATATAAGAAAGTACCTGATTTGTTTGTAAAATGTGCAATCCTTGTTAATTTGATTAGATAGATGATCCTGATTTGGCTAGAGTCCTATGCTTTCACTGTGAAGAAAGATTTTGCTAAACACATTAAAGCATTTTTTTTTGTTTGCTTGTTTAATAGACTAAATTTAAAGACTTTAAAAGCAAGTGTCATATTTGAATACAAGGTAAAGTCTCAATTACTCATTAAAAGTGGCTTTTTAGGATTTGCTTAGAAACACTTGATTGGCAGCTGAAGCTATTAGATTTAAAATACTTACATTTAAAATATGTAAACTTCCCTGACTTAGCATGTTTTTCTTGAGTTACAAAGCATTTATTGTAGGTTTATACCTAGAGTAATCATGAATGACTCATTAACAAATGTCTTTAAAAGTCAATCTACAAAAGGCACAAATTAACAGACACAAACAACACTTGATTTAAACATCAAAATAGTATTCATGCTGCCATGTAGAAAAAATTCAGACACAATTTTTAAAATAGTGGAATATAATCTTAGGTTTAAATATAACAGTGATGACTAGAAACTCCAGAAGATTAGAAAAATATGTGTGAATACTTCTAAATAAAAAGAGCACTTCTTCTAAAAATCCACTGAATTCTAATTTTCATTATTAAATATTAAATTAGAAGAGACAGTTCTGTCAAAACGGCCAACATATCAGCCTACTTACAACAAACCCAAAGGACTAAAAGCTAAGACTAGGGGGCTAGCAGAGTGGCACCCCACATCCGAGTGCCGGTTCAAGTCCTGGCTGCTCCGCTTCTGATCCAGCTCCCAGAAAATGTGCCTGGCAAAAAGGAGAAGGTGGCCTAAGTATTTTGGCCCCTGCCACACACATGGGAAACTCAGATGGAGTTCCAGACTCCTGGCTTTGGCCTGGCTCACTCCCGGTCACGCTGGTCATTGGAAGAGTGAGCCGGCAAATCAAATATCTGTCTCGTGCCACTCTGCCTTTCAAATAAATCTTTAAAAATAATGAAAAAAAAAAAAAAAACAAAAAAAAACTAAGACTAGCCAAATTCCCCTTGATATTTAGGTGTCTAAGCAACTACCCATTTATGTTCCCCTTAAAAAAATCTCTTCTATATTTATCCAAAGTAAATACAAAAGTAAATGAATAATTAATACCATTACTTATGTTTACATGAACTTTTCAATCAATTTCAAAGCTCAAAAGAAAATTCAGTAATATCTTTTCTAATATGCAATTTTGTTAAGACATTTAAGTCATACCAACAAAAAAATCCTCCAGGGCTCTTTTCAATATAATTACCAATGAGTTGAAATCTGAAGTCACCAATATTGATAAGGACCTACTTTCTGCCAGATTTTCAAATGCCTTTCCACATAGTGACAGTATGAGACATACTTCTTACACTCGAATCCAGAACTACCAATGCTTAGGAATTCAAAATAACATGAAATAAAACAGGTGCTTCTGCACGATAAAGTCACAGAATCTTAAATCTCCTTGGTAAGGTTACGGTAGAGTACGCAAAGCACCAAATATGAAAATAATGTACACAGGTCATTACCACTGCAGAAGTGTCTAACACTTGTATGATTCTACTGCATAAAATTTGCTTGCTATACTGCAAACATCAGATGACAGAGTATGATATTGTGATAATGATTTACAGGATATTATAAAAGATCTTTTTGATCACTGTACACTGACATTAAATCTAGATGAAAAGCATAACATTACAATTTGGGAAGACTATGATCTGCAACGTCTGAGTAACACAGCAGCTTAGCTGCACTTAGTGGTAAAGGCCCATAATGACTAAGCCAGGTAGGCCCCGGCTTATCTTATTTTTACTCATTTTATTCCATGCTCATTTTCCTCCTCTGCTGTATGTAGATTAAAGTGCTTTAGTTTATTAATATATTGAAGTTTTGAAAATTACTGTTGAAGACAAGTTAGAATGATTCAGCAACTACATCTTAAATCCAGGAGCAAGAAATTCAGCTGAATTTTTTCTCAGGCAAAAAAAATCTCACTCAAGGAAATCTACTTGTATGACCAAAGAGGAATTAGTTTACATCAAGTAAATCGATGAAACATATGCTAGCACACTGACCATCTGAAAAATAAGGTAAAATGATAATCCTATACATCAGTGTCTGAATTTTACAATTTTGATATTATTTTTCAGTAGATGAAAAGCATCCTGGTTCACTTAATTTTAACAAGTTCATCATTTAAGAAACACATTGTAAGAAGATGCTATCCTAATAAGCGTCCTTATCTTTCAAAATTTCTTTACTATTACCTGCAAACAATAGGTAACAGAGCTTTGCCTCTGCTCGTTTTTTTCTACATTTACTCACAACTTAAATAAAACATGATAATATTTAAAAAATTAATCATAGTAATGAAGCAATATTTACTATTTTACAGCCACCCTCTGCAACTTCCTACAAAGCTCTTTTACCCTCTTTGTTTAAATTTTCAAGGTTTTTTTCTGGGGGGGGGGGGGACAGAGAAAATGCATTCTGGAAGGGACACCAATTAAAAGTATTAGCAAAAATAAAGAAACTAATCTTCTTTCAGTATTTGGCAAGATGAGAGCCTAACTAGTGTTAATTAAAAAAACAAAAGCTAAACCACAGACTGCAACAGTTCACACCCTGAAAATGTGGCCTATTTACCCTGAAAACATATAGTCTATAAATAAATACAGATAAAATACAAAGCCTACATTTAATATTCAGACTTCAAACCCTGAATTTTGCTAAACTGTCTCATTATCATTTTCATTCCAAAATCTATCTTATGTTTCAGAAAAATAGACTTCATCCTAGGATTTTCTAAAAATAGACTCCCACTGTCTTTTTTACAAGAAAGAATTACGCTTGATTATGAGTCCTATCACATCATCAATACCTAAAATTCTCATTTAACCCTATTTTTGGCAACCAAAGTGGTAACTAAACATACAAAAAAGAATGTATCTTACCTATATGCTGCATTTTCTTTCAAATGCAAAATGGTTAGATTCCCCTTCTACTTAATCAGTACAGGGTCTGGTCATTTCTCAGTCTGACTTGCAAATATTTGCTTTCCCTCTTAGGGCATAGCATCCGCAGGGTTATACAGCACTACTTACATTCTCTTCCACATAAAAATCAGACATTACATGAAAGGAAAAGAAAGACAGCCCATTTCAAAGCATCTGGCAAACCTCCATTGGCAACCTGCCAAGCCTCTGCTGAACCTTCCTGTCTTTCCGAGCATGCTCACTTAAAACCAACAGCATGTTACTATGGCAACTCTGTAGGCAGCCTGTAAGTATGAACCGCCATTCTGATTTCAGAGTGTCAAACACCAAATACTGCAGGGGAAGTAAAAGAAAATAGCATGTACCCTCCATCACACACCAGTATACTTATGATATTTCACAAATCCATATTTGTATATGTAAAACACAAAGAACCTACATATTGCCAGGCAAATATTTTTCAGCTCAAATAGGTGCTCTTTTCCAGCAAATTCTTTGTCTTGCCCCTAAGCCCCTTCACCCCATAACAACCAAAAATACACCAAACAATTTATTCCGTTTAGCAAAACACTGCTAAGTTAACAGAGGATGACATTCATGAAAGCAATCACGCAGTGCTCTATGGATAATCTCCTGCAGTTATATACACACTTGCAATGACATGGCAATGTTATAAGAAACATCAGCACTGGCAAGATACAATGTCCATCTTCTATACAATTTATCAAACTGACAAATAAAATGTCCTTTGGGTTTGGACAGGAATTTTTTACTCCAGTTATCCTTGAGATACTGTGAAATGTCCAAAAGTGGCAAGGTTCTGAAGCTGACAACCCAGATCTGGGTTCAAATCCCCATTCTCCACATTTTGAGTTTTGCCACCTTCAGAAAGTCACAGGACCTGTCTCAATCTCACTTTCTTCATCTTTAAGGCAGGGTAGTGACAGTTACTTCCTACGGTAACAGCTTAAATGAGTTAACAGATAAAATACCTAAAATATACATTTCTTTCCTCTTGGACTATGTGGAAAAGACCCTTAAGATAACCAATGTGCAACTGTTACTTAACCAGAAAAAGTACTTCTTTGTGACTTCTTATTGAAAATCAGTTCTGATTTACACACACTAAGCTGCAAGCCAGAAATGCTTCCACAACACCCAAGTTCATTAGAACCAGACAAGGACAGAAACAAAAGACAGAGAATTTAAAGAGAGGGAAAATATACGAAGGTGGCATTTTTACTACCGGGCATTAAAATGCTTCAGTTTGCTGTAAACATGGAATTATACTTACCACCTCTTCCTCTTCCTTTTTGGCTTCCTTTTCCCTCTCTTCATCGTTTTCTTCGGCTGGGCCATCTTCATCATCACTACTCGATGACTCGAGGATTTCACTTATATCCATTTTCCAATTTTCAGGGACAACTCTAGTTCTTAGGAAGATGCTTGCTCTCTGCAGCCCTAAGAGTGAAAATGCACTTCAGCAGTTGCTACGAAATTAACAGCACAGAATGACAGACAAGGCGTAACATTCAGAGTCAGAAGACCTGAATTCGAATTCAGCTCTCAGTTATAAAACGAGTTAGTAAGTTTGAACATATTTCAGAAACTATTATATAAATATTTGTTACCACTCTGGAAAAAACTCTGTTAGAAATATCAACAGTAGGCACAGGTATTTGGTGCAGCTTGGCATGCCTGCATCTCATACTGGAGCGTCAAGGTTTGAGTCCTGGCCCTACTGCTGAATCCCCCTTCCTGCTAATGCACGTCCCGGGAGGTAGCAGAAGTCCTTGGGGCCTGCCACCCCTATGGGAGACCTGGACTGAGTTCCTGGCTCCTGGCCCGCCCCTGGCTATTGCAGGGACTGGGGAATGGACTAGCGCAGAAAGATCTTGATATCTTTTCTCTGTTTCAAATAAAGTTTTAAAACTTTAACATAAAAAGACAAATCTTAATGTTAAAACTTGAGAAAAACTACAACTCAAATATTTTATGGAGATTTTAAAAAATAATCATCAAGTAAGATTGGGTATCAACTCTAACAGTAAAAATGCCACCAGAGAATATTCTTGCTTTATTCACATATTCCACAGAGAGCCACACATAATGAAATAATGGATTTTTCATTCTTATTTTACCTGGTTTAGAGGAGAGCTCAGATTCTGGAAGATTGAGAATATCTACTTCCTTAATATCCTTTCTTGCTATAGAGTAACTATAGAGAAGAATTAAGGAGAGGAAAACCATTTATTAAATAAAAATCATCATTAAAATAGTCCATATTAAGACATGGAAAAACGTAAGTCTCAAAATCATAATTATTTTGCCTATAAAATATTTTAGAAGCCCAAGATCATGTTTATTCTAATCCTTAATAAAAGAAGTGAGATTGGAAAAGTTGGTATCTTAAAAACATTTTACATACATACATATACTAATTTGAGAGCCTCAAATTTGTATCTATCCAACCCTCCTATAAAAAACATGGGATAATTTATATCAGCATGATGTTTTCAACATTTGTAGGCAATCATGTCTATTTACTATTTCTTAAATTTACCATCATTTTGGTAAAAAAATCATTTACTGGAAGGTGATATTTAAAAATTCTTATCATTGCAAGATACATTATAGTATTAATCTTTTACAGAGAATCATAACCCAATAAATACATGCATTCTAATTTTACATTTTTGGGAAAACAAAGCAGAGATGAGGTTAGGGAAAAGCTGCCAAAAGTTTAGTTTTTAATCAGAAAAAAAAATTAAAATTATTATTCTAGTAATTTGCGTTCTACTGAAAAATAAGTTTTAGGGGGCAGGGCTGTGGTGTGCCACCTATAGTGCTGGCATCCATTATGGGTGGGTGCCAGTTCAAGTCCTGGCTTCTCCACTTCCGATCCAGCTACCTGCTAATGCACCTGGGAAAGCAGTGAAGGATGGCTCAGGTCTTTGGGCCCCTGCACCCAAGTAGGAAACCCAGAAGAAGCTCCTGGCTCCTGGTTAGATCTGGCCCAGCTCTGGCTATTGCAGCCATTTGGAGAGTGAACCAGCAATGGAAGACTTTCTCAATCTCTCTCTCTCTCTCTCTGCCTCTCCCTCTTTGTAACTCTTTCAAGTTACAAATAAATACATCTTTAAAAAAAGTTTAAATGCTCACAATATGAAACACTATAAAAGATTTTTACAATTAAGAGAAAATCAATATGCTTCATTAAAAAACCTTTTAATATTGTTTTCACATTTTATTTGTAGTTTATAAAGTTTATCATTAAAAAATACCTGATATTATAAAAGAAGTCAAGGAAGTTCATGAATAATTACACTTTTAAAAAAAAGTCTGGGACCAGCATCATGGTGTAGTGAATTAAGCATCAGCTGCAATGCCAGCATCCCACATGGACACTGGTTTGTGTCCCAGCTGCTCCACTTCCAATCCAGTTCCCTGTTAATGGCCTGCGAAAAGCAGCAGCAGATGGTCCAAGCGCTTGGGCTCCTGCACTCATGTGGGAGATCAGGATGCAGTTCTAGGCTCTTGGCTTTGGCCTGGCCCAACCCCGGCCATTAAGGCCATTGGAGGAATGCACCAGCAGATGGAAGATCTCTCTCTCTGTCTCTGTCTCTTCCTCTCTTTGTAACTCTGCCCTTCAAATAAATACATCTTTAAAAAAAAGAAGTCTGAGTGGAGGGGACTACCATTGTAATTCCATTTTTTTTTCCTCTCTCAAGAAACATTAAGTGATTACTCACAATTTAGAATCAATAAATGACCGAACTAAACATTGATCCTTTTTCACTGTGATGTCATCATTACAGCTGGGAGATACTACCTAAAATATAAAATAAGAACAGATTGATTCATATTTCCTTTGTTTAGGAAAAAGTATATATTTTATTTTTAAAAAATTGCCTTTATTGTAAAAGTCTCAGAAAGCTCCTTTGCCCTCCACCCCAAGAATTCATAATGATATGCGGCAGCACAAATTCATTTTAAAAGAACATTATTAAAAATGAAGATGGTATATGCTGATATTAGTCCAACTTCTAAGAAGCAGTGCAATCCTTAGATAGTAGGAGTCCCAATGTTGGTAAGGTTGACTTAACCACCAGAATTTATAGCTTAATTCTTCCACTTAAGACCAAGGAGGGGCCGGCGCTGTGGCGTAGCGGGTAAAGCCGCATCCTGCAGTGCTAGCGTCCCATGTGGGCACCAGTTCAAGTCCTGGCTTCTCCACTTCCTATCCAGCTCTCTGGTATGGCTTGTGAAAGCAGTAGAAGATGGCCCAAGCCCTTGGGCCCCTGCACCCATGTGGGAGACCTGGAAGAAGCTCCTGGCTCCTGGCTCCTGGCTTTGGATTGGTGCAGCTCTGGCTGTTGCAGCCAATTGAGGAGCGAACCAGCAGATGAAGACCTCTCTCTCTCTCTGCCTCTCCTTTTCTCTCTGTGTAACTCTGACTTTCAAGTAAAATAAATAAATCTTAAAAAATAAAAAAGACCAAGGAAAAGTTAGAACCCTCCAAGGGAGACACAGTTCCCAAATGATGGCCCTGGATGAGTCCCAAAATTTTCTACATGACATGTTGAATTTTTCCATTCCACTGGCCCTCGAGATGTTTCTCCAGATGCGTTACCATCATTTTCTACTTCTTGTGATGTGAAAGTAAATGAAGACTTTCTTTGGATAGAGCATGATATTGGGACGTGACCTCTGACATTTACTGGTTCATATGAAACTGAACTCTCAATAACAATACCACATAGGCATTCGTATTTCCTGATACCACAAGGAGTAAGCAGATAGATGAACTCAAAGTAACCAGCAGCACTCTGCTTACAGAACAGCCAGTTCCAAGATACAGCTCATGAGCCTGTGGTTGCAGTTGATGTACAAAAGGTGCCCGTCTAACTTAGACCTGGAGCCAGAACTCCATACAGGCTACAAACAAGCCTTATAAACCATGAGCAGACAAGAAGCAGGGGGGCACCCTCCCAGCACATCAAAGATCTTCATGGCTTCCAGATCCTAAACCAAAGAGTCACAGGAAGCAGGAAATCAAAAGTATGTATTTTTAAAAAGAACAATCCTAGATCCCCTAATTTCTCAAATGAATTATATTTTACAGGATATAATTTTGAAATGTTTATTTGCTAAAAAATATTCACGTACATTGCCTTTCTTAGCAGAACATGTATAATTTGTAGTAATTAAAGCAAATCAAAGAAAATCAGAACTAAGGACTTTTTATAATTTCTTAATTTTTGAAAATAACAAATGTCTTAACAGTATTGTTAGTAAATAAGCTGTAAATTCTTTATAGAATTTCATATTTAAAAAAAAACTAAAGTTCCCTACTGAATTCCTGACATGTACCTGCTCTTAACCTCCCCTGCTAGCAGCTTCCCTGATGTTTCCACATCTGCACTGCCCCAAACAGCAGGCAAACCCATAGGCCTAAACACGTGAAATGTGACTGCTACGATCCCAAGACTGAAGCTTTAATTTTATTTCCTTTAAGTAAGCTACATTTAAAAGTAAATAACCACATACAATTCGTGGCTACAGTACTGAAAAGTATGTATCTAGATTACTGAGTATTCTTGGTAGTCGCATCAGCTGTCTTAACACCAGCTGGAAGGGAACATTATTTTGTTTGTTTACTAGATGCTGATACTTATTAGACTGATATTATATGTGTGCCTTCCTTGAAGAGGTAACAAGCTAATGGAAGGGCAGGCATAAAAAGATACACTCACAAAACAGCCCACAATGAGGGACAATACAGTGATGCCGCCAGGCATACAATAACAGGAAAATACCTAGGAGGAAGATTTAACCCAAGCTGCTATCGGAAACACGTGGCACCAAAGGCTTCAGGCAAGCCTTACAGGAAGTGTAGGCACAACCCAGGGTCTAATTACCTCACCAGTGAACTGCTCTAATGGCCTCTGATTGCTGCCACTCCAGTCTTTGCAATGACAGTCAACTCAACAAACCACTGCCTCATTAACATTCCTGAACATGCAGCTCAAATGGCATTCCTCTCCAAAATTCTCTGTGGAATTATGCCCAAATTCCACAGATGCTCTTTTAAAGACCCTTCTGCCCCAGATGTAAATATCTTTCCAGTCACAGTACCTATTACTGCCCTACTTAGATCTAATAATCAGCCAAAATGGATTTCCAGTAGAGACAGACAGGTATTACCAAGTATTTTTGATTCCCCTCATGAAATAACTCTTCCATCTCTTCTTCTCATTCCCTCTCTGTGTAAGTAAAGATTAGCTTTCTCTACCAACCCACTTCAGACTCGCGATCTCTAAAGCTGTCAAAAAAATCTAGGTGATTCTTTCCTTTCCAATACTCCCTGCATCACATTATTTAAAATTTACTACGCAATCTTTAATAATTATGTAATCTCTTGGACGCATACAGTCGTTTCCCAAGGCTGATGTGTTCCAAGTCTCACACGTGTCTCTTCTAAGGGACTCAGAACAAAGCTGAATTCACTGCAGATCCCCAGTAAATACTAATTAATTTGGGGTTAGGGTTAAGGCTTAGAGGAGTGAAGTAGCTGACATATGAGGTACTTAAGGAAGAACTTGAGTAGAGGTTACAGTGAAAACAGAAAACAAACTAAGAGCAACGGATGGACTCAAACAATTGTGTAATGAATGTAAAATTGATCAGGCAGACTCAGTGAAGGTTTAGCCTTGAAAATGCAACTATCATGATTGAATCAATGCTAAGAAGGCTCTTGATAAAAGGGTACAGATAGAGAAAGGGAATAACAAAAGATGACCATCAAGTATTCTGGACCTATGACTACTCAACTTTTAAGCCTTTAGTAAAGTTCAAATTAAATGTAGGTAGTACTTCCAAAATACTTCAAACGTTTTTAAAAATCCACTTTAAACAAATATTTACATGGGTGATTTACTTTGCAAAGAAATCTTACTTACCAAAGCGGGATACCAGTCAGTCCTCTCAGCTGTAGATATCACACTTACAACTTTTCCTAATAATTCATCATTAAGACGGCGTTTGTCTTCATCTTCCTCTTCACTACTTTCTTCTTCCTTTTCATCTTCAGTACTAAAAGTCGGAATAATTTGATTATTATCCTTACATCATTATCCAAAACAATCAGATGGCATGAATTTTACAAGTTCTATTCAATTCTTAGTGGATAACATTGCAGCAGTAGCCTCTTTTTTTTTCTTTTCAACTTTTATTAAATACAAATTTCCAAAGTACAATTTTTGAATTATAGCAGCTTTCCCCCCCATAACCTCCCTCCCACCCACAACCATCCAATCTCCCACTCCCTCTTCCATCCCATTCTCCATCATGATTCATTTTCAATTAAGCCTCTTTACTCTTGCTGGACTAGAAGAGACAGACACTCTCAGCCTCACAGCAGTAGCTTGAGCTGTCTGCGCCAAATATGAGTACATATCACTAATCAATGTGTTCTTGAACTTAGATACTTTGGCCCACGACGAACTAGGACAGAAAAGCCAAATCACACCAACCTGAAGTACTTACTTTGCCAAATACAATTTTTTCAAGATTTATTTACTTCTTTCTTTGAAAGGCAGAGTAAGAGAGAGAGAGGGAGACACAGAGAAAGATTTTCCATCTGCTGGTTCACTCCTCTAATGACTACAGGAGCTGGGGCTGGGCCAACCTAAAGCCAGCAGCCCAGAACTCCATCCTGATATCCCTACATGGGTGGGAGTACTTGGGCCATTAACCACTGCTTTTTCAGGTGCACTAGCAGGAACCTGGATTGGAAGTGGAGCAGCTGGGACTTGAACTGGCATCCAATAGGGATGCTGGTGTCTTTATCTGCTGCACCACAATGCTGGTGCATTTTTTTCTTAAAAAGATTTTCCACAATGCCAATACATTTTTTTCTTAAAAAGATCTTTCCTTAGCCAGATGCCAGTAAAAGTAACTTTAATTTTCTAACAGTTTATGAAAATATATCATTAAAATACACATGAGGGTATTATGCAGGTAACTTATCTAGGGAGCTACAGTTTACCCTTTGATGTTAACAATATGTATTAATTTTAAGCATATAATTTTAAAAATGACAATGTGTACATAATCCCATTTGATTTTTAATGAATTTATATTTAATCACTTGACATCTTGAAGACATCTTGCAAGGCACTGATACCACTGGCATGAATTAAACTATTCAGCACTATTAACTGTACTACTTGGCTCAAAATCATCTAGTTCCTTATCTATTGAAGGTTTATTCTTTTCCTCTCATAGGCTTGTCAGCTGTTAAACTCCACATTGTTTAATTCATTGTTGGAACTGACTAATCTTTCCTGTCCTCTCATCTTTTTTCCTCTAGATTGGTTTCTTCAAATCTGAGAAGACAGATGATTTAACTTGTTAAAAATTATGGATAAAATAAGTATAAATAGCCTTTCAGTAAAAGTCTACAGAGCTAACTTATGAATAAAATACCTGGGTATTAATGATTTACTAAACACATATCATGCACTGAGTACTTAATACACACTGATTGATCCACATTATTTGATCCTCACGAAACTGGCAAGAGATTCTCATTCTCATTTTCCATAGCCCTAAACTGGAAATAACATCTTGCATGTTTTTATGAAGATTAGAATTAACACATGTAAATGCACTTCACTTCAAGGAGGCTAGGTAATTTTCCTAAAGAGATACATTCTCCAAAGAGGCTGAATTGGGATTTCTACCTAGGGTTCTCAGAGGTCTTTCACTACTTTGTGGTTCATAGCTTAGGTATTGCATTACTCTGCCTTTCCAAACCTTCCAGCAGCAACGGAACCATCTAATACATAGATCCTGGTGCCTAAATATTATTTCCCACTAAAGAATGAGGGTTCTCTGGAAAAGAGGCCAACCCCGAAGTTGGGGCAGAAGGAAAGTAACATGAGCCTAGGATACCCTATTACACCTGAAAGTGACAGAATGTTCAGGAAATGGTGAAGGTGGGGGAGGGTGTTTGACACAGTGATTAAGATGTTGCCCAGACACCTGCGTCCCATATCACAGTGCCTGGTTTTTGAGTACTGGCTCTACTTCTCACCTATCTTTCTAATAATGCAAATCCTGGGAGGCAGCAGATGATGGCTTAAGAACTTTGATCCTGGGGCCTGCACTGTGGCATAGTGGGCAAAGCCGCCACCTGCTGTGCCAGCATCCCATATGGACGCCGGTTCGAGTCCCAGCTGCTCTACTTCCGTTCCAGCTCTCTGCTATGGCCTGTGAAAGCAGAAGATGGCCCAAGTCCTTGGGCCCTGCACCCATGTGGGAGACCCAGAAGAAGCTCCTGGCTCCTGGCTTCTGCCATTGCATCCAATTTGGGAGTGAACCAGCAGATGGAAGACCTCTCTCTCTCTGCCTCACCTTCTCTCTCTGTGTAACTCTGACTTTCAAATAAACAAACAAATCTTAAAAAAAAAAAAAAAAAAAAGAACTTTGGTCCCTACCACTCACTTGGAAGACCTGGATTGAGATCTGGGTTCCAGGCTTCAGCCTGGCCCAGTCATGGCTGTTGATGGCATTTGGGGAGTGAACCAGCAGACAGAAAACCTTGTCTCCCCATCATTCAAATAAAAATGAAAAAAGAAAAAAGAAATGGTGCAGACATACCCAGAGAGCAAAGGAGCCAGCTTGAGAAGCTCCCACTAACTAAATCTGGGGCAACTTGAACACCAAAATGAATTTTTGAACAATGAATTGCACCCTTTAGCTAAAATTAGAACCTTTGAGTCCACAGGAAAGACAAAGAAAAAATTTTCACTATTGCTAAACAGCAACTAATAAATGCAATACAAAAGACAAAATCAGAAAATTACCATTTAGCTATCATAATACTAATTGATTTTGGCAAAAATTCCCAGATTAGAAACCACTGAGCCGGTGCCACAGCTCACGAGGCTAATCCTCCACCTTGCGGCGCCGGCACACCGGGTTCTAGTCCCGGTCAGGGCGCCGGATTCTTTCCCAGTTGCTCCTCTTCCAGGCCAGCTCTCTGCTGTGGCCCAGGAGTGCAGTGGAGGATGGCCCAAGTCCATGGGCCCTGCACCCTATGGGAGACCAGGAGAAGCATCTGGCTCCTGGCTTTGGATCAGCTCGGTGCGCCAGCCGCACCGACCATTGGAGGGTGAACCAACAGCAAAGGAAGACCTTTCTCTCTGTCTCTCTCTCTCTCACTGTCCACTCTGCCCGTCAAAAAAAAGAAACCACTGAATAAAGGTCTGTTAAAGAATAGGATATTGAGCGCCGGCGCCTCAGCTCACTAAGCTAATCCTCTGCCTTGCGGCGCCAGCACACCGGGTTCTAGTCCCGGTTGGGGCGCCGGATTCTGTCCTGGTTGCCCCTCTTCCAGGCCAGCTCTCTGCTGTGGCCCGGGAGTGCAGTGGACGATGGCCCAAGTGCTTGCCCTGCACCCCATGGGAGACCAGGAGAAGTACCTGGCTCCTGCCATCGGATCAGCGCAGCGCGCCAGCTGCGGCAGCCATTGGAGGGTGAACCAACGGCAAAGGAAGACCTTTCTCTCTGACTCTCTCTCTCACTGTCCACTCTGCCTGTCAAAAAAAAAAAAAAAATAGGATATTGAAATAGCCTTTATTTATAAATTACAAAGAGAAAAATTTAGCAGACACCACTTTAACCAGTTGGTCAAAATTAACATCATCAATTATGGGACAAACGGGTAACATGCACATATTGATCCACTTGCACTGAGAAGCTCACAATATCACTTACATACCATAAAAATGCATAACCTGAATCTAATAATGAGAAAACAATTACACACACCTGTATCAAGGAACGTCTACAAACAACTGACCCAGGCCCTAGAAAAATTTCAATGTATGGAAACCAGAAACGACAAAAGAACTTCCACAAATTAAAAGAGACTTAAAAATACTAAAAAAAACTGGGGCCAGAACTGTGGCGGGTAAAGCCACAGCCTGCAGTGCCAGCATCCCATATGGACCCGGTTCAAGTCCCAGCAGCTCCACTTCTGATCCAGCTCTCTGCTATGGACTGCGAAAGCAGTAGAAGATGGCCCAAGTCCATGGGTCCCTGCACCCACGTGGGAGACCTGGAAGAGGCTCCTGGCTCCTGGCTTCAGATCAGCCCAGCTCTGGCCACTGTGGACAACTAGGGAGTGAACCAGCAGATGGAGGACCTCTCTCTCTCTGCCTCTCCTTCTCTCTCTGTGTAACTATGACTTTCAAGTAAAATAAATAAATCTTTAAAAAAATACTAAAAAAAAAAAAATGCAATGTGTGATCTTGGACTGCATCTGGGAATTAGGCAGAACAGGAGATGCCATAAAGGCTATCAATGGAGTAATTAACAGAATTTGAAATATAATTCTATGCTCTCAGATGGTAGTATTCTATCAAGGTCAATTTTCTGAATTTGGTATCCACACCCTGGTAGAGTATCACGATATTTGCTACTTCCTCTCAAATGTTTCAGAAAACTAAAATTATTACAATATTTAAAATAATTACGTGTGTGTGTGTAGATATACAGAGAGACAGAGACAGTAGATACAGATAGAGAATGATAAAGTATATGTGCCAAAAAGTGTTACCAGTTAGTGAATCTAGATGAAGGGTACATGGAAGTTCATTGTATTATTTTTGCAGTTTTTAGGCTTGAAATGCTTTTGAAATAAAAAAGCTTAAAAAGTACAAATACTCGCTTAAAATAGGAAAACTGTACCTATGACAGACTTTGGCACAGAAACTTAGAACAAAAGTAGCCTTTTAGTAAATGCAACTATAATAATTCTTGGGAAAAGTAAATGAGATACTTAAAGACAAGGTCTAATCAGGGTGAAACGCCTAACGTAAGGATACAGGATGCTATGGAAAGGTTACCTAGCTCAGAGAAACCTCTTGCATAATGTTGTAGCATCTGTAATTCTCATGATACTATACAAGAAAAAACTCACACAGGAAGAGAAGACCTCCTTCCTCTGTTTGTCTTTTTTGCGATTACTGGAGTTCCAAAATGCTCTGGATTTGTCAATGGGAGCTGGTCAAGTGTCTACATAAAACAAAGAAAAAGATGAATTAAATCACAATTCACTTCTTGGTCAGCAGTTGCTGTTCAACCCAAGAAGTCCATCCCTATCACCTCACCTCACTCTCTGCAAAATGTCGTTCTCCTTTCAGACACAGCGAGGTGCGTCTCAGGGTTCTCTCATCACCATCATCAAACACTATAATAGCAAAAGATATCAGAGAATTTATGCACACTAATTCAATAAAAATTTAACTGCGCAGAATGCCGCTACTGCTATTTATTTACAACTTAATATTTCTAAGAAGCAGTATTTGTCAGCTATTTTTCAAAATCTTTTTAAAATGAATATACCAGACTTTTCATTCCTCTTTTTTTTTTAACAGATAGACAGTGAGAGAGAGAGACAGAGAGAAAGGTCTTCCTTCCGTTGGTTCACCCCCAAATGGCCACTCCGGCCAGAGCTATGCCGTTCCGAAGCTAGGAGCTTCCTCCTGGTCTCCCAGGCGGGTGCAGGGCCCAAACACTTGGGCCATCCTCCACTGCCTTCCTGGGCCACAGCAGAGAGCTGCACTAGAAGAGGAATAACTGGGACTAGAACTCAACACCCATATGGGATGCTGGTGCCGCAGGCAGAGGATTAACCAAGTGAACCATGGCACCAGCCCCCTTTTCATTTTTTAGAAACTATAACACATACAGGTCAAATCTGCCCTCAACTGCTTAAGTATCTCCATTTGACATTTCAATTACCATCACTACTAAATCACCTTAATATATCAGGAAACTAAGCAAAGCAAAATATTAAGTACTCTCAATCTTACAGGGATGGGCAAACACTTGGTTTCAAAAGTAGCATTAGGTCTTTCAGCAACCATTCCCAATGGAGTATCCCTAACTTCCTGAAACTACTTGACTTCAGTAACGCTGCTGAATTATTCTACTGCTTCTATGTATTTGCACAATACCCTACTATTCTGCTAGTACTGGCGGACACATTCTGAAGTCGTAGATTCAAGTGTTCTCTTTGGAAAAGGATCTAAGTATGTAAGAATAAAGGTTGAGGGACCAGCGCGGTGGCATAATGGATTGAACAACCACCTGTGGAGCTGGTGTCCCATATCAGTGCCAGTTCAAGTCCAGGCTGCTTCACTTCTGATTCAGCTCCCTGCTAAGGTGCCTGGGAAAATGGCAGAGGATGCCCAAGTCCTTGAGCTCCTGCACTCTTGTGGGAGGCTCAGATGAAGCTCCTGGCTGGGGGCTTCAGCCTGGCCCAGCCCCAGCTGTTGCAGCCATTTGGGGAATGAATCAGCAGATGGAAGACCTGTCTCTCCAACTCTGCCTTTCAAATAAATAAATAAAAATCTTTAAATAAATGAATAAATAATAAAGGTTAAAACAAGGAAACATTAGAAAGGCACTAAGTCTTTTTAAAAAGAAATTCTAGGGGTTCATGCTGTGGCATAGTAGGTTAAGTTTCCACCTGTGGTGCTGGCAACCCATATGGGCACCTGTTCAAGTCCTGGCTTCTCCACTTCTGATCCAGCTCCCTGCTAATGACCTGGGAAAGCAGTAGAAGACGGCTCAAGTACTTGAGTCCCTGCACACATGTGGGAAGCCTAGAAGAAGCTCCTGGCTTCTGGCTTTAGTTTGGCCCAGCTCTGGACATTGCAGCCATATGGGGAGTGAACCAGCATATAGGAATCTCTCTCTGTAACTCTCTCAAATAAGTAAATAAATCTAAAAACAAAAAAAATAAAATAGAATAAAAAAGAAATCCTAAAGAGAAGTCGTAAGAACACAGAAAGCTTCTCCAAAGCCTTGACTTTCCTACATATTTAAAAGAATCATGCTAGTTGACCATGTTTCAGTGTTCCAGGAACAGAGCAGGGAAATGAATATTTATCATGAATATTCTTGCCTAATTATCTACATTATTTTGGTAACTTCATATGTAAAGGTTAATTTTTTAGAATGTAGTCTGCTTTTAACATCCAATATTTATAAAGATTATTAAAAAGGAAATCTTCTAAGAAGACACCTGATTGCCAGGATTAAGAAATAAGACAGAAAAAAGACAGAATTCTTACCTCAGATACTTAAAAAGTATATCTCACATATACTTTAAGTATATATAGATGATATACATAGATGATATATTTAAAAAGTATATCAATTCAACAATGTTTGTACATCTTATGAACTGCACATATTCACAACAAAGCTTATATATGTGTGTATACACACACCAAAGTGGTTATTGATAGAATCCTAATTTTCCTAATTCTAGGTGCCTTTCCATTCTAACAGAAATGATCACTATTAATAAAGGGAAATTATATGTCACTCTGATTTAACACCAGCTTAGAATCCTTTAACTAATTATCTATAATACTGAAGTTTATTTTTTAAAAGAGCTCATTTCATTAGGAAACACTTTATCTTAGATTACATGCAGGAAAAAATGCAGTGAAAAATTAAAAGCTCCTGAAACACATATTGGAAGAGTCTCAATCCCACAAAAGCAGCTATGCTATATACTCCGAACAATTCAAAAATTGATGACTACTTGGAGACACAATGGCAGCATAAAACACAACAAACACAACATTCTTCAACAATCACATCACTCACTGATCAGCACTGTCAACAATGTCCTAAATATTTACATCAAAATTGAGGCATATAGTGTCATCAAGTATAAACTGTTGTTTTAAAAATTCAAAATAGTAAACAGACGTAAAAATTCATGTTAGTATGAATGTCCAGAAGTGTAAAAATTTTATAAGGAATAAAAATTGAACATTCTACAATATCAAAAATATTGGCATCTCTCCTCTTCATTTCCCTCTCTTAAATAAGGCCTCACTCTCCTATGCATTTCTCTCACTGAATAAAAAGCTTAAAATGTATCATGCTGCCTCATTCATATATGCCAGTATTCAGAATACTTCTCTGAATATTGGGCAAGAACCCACAACACTTTTGTGAATTTATTAATAAGCACACAGTAATATAATTGGCACCTCATAGTTCAGTATCAGAAACATGACGTCAGGAGCCAGGGCCGAGAGTTGAACCCCAGCACTCTGATGTGGGACACAGGCACCTTAATTACTGGAATAAACATTCGCTCCCTGGATTTATTAACCATGACACCTGATGCCTGAAACCACAAAGAAGCTCCATCAGTAATTTCCATGTTAGAAGATCACTTAAAGAACACAGAATTTGTAGGGATTGAAGAAACTCTAGTTTTCTGTTAAAACAGTTAACTGCTGCCTATAGTAATTTTATATAGTTTTAAAAGTTAAAATTTATACTAGATCACGTCAAGGGAAAAAAAAATCAGACTACAAGGATTTAGTAATTCTATGAAATGTCTTGTACTTCCCACATCAGCACTTGAATCAAGATCATTCATTGAGAATCACAGAACATGTGATATAATAATATTAGATAGAAACATTCAATCGTATTTAGAGGGAAATGACAAAGCTGAGACTCCCGGTAACACACTACTTCCTCACACTAAACAAAAGGGATAAAATAATGCAAATACAAACCCTGATCTGTTAGAATTCAAAGAAACAAAAACCAACAAGGATCCATCTACCTGAAGACTTACTGAATACAAAAGGTCCTTTATCATATCTCTGCTACATAGTGGAGGATGGTAAAATAATGATTCAATTAACTTTATCTATCCAAAGATTTAACTTGTTAGTACTTAAGTTTCTACCATGTCCTAATCCTCACAACAAGTCTCTGTAGGGTAAAGATCATTATCCTCCTTTATAGCTAAAGAAATTGAGACTCAGGTTAACCAATGAACTACAGTTTAGCTAAGGTGACCAAAGGACAAAATAAACAGGTATGAGGAAGTAGAAAACGAACCTGCAGGATGAAGTCAAGAATTGTGACTTAGTTATGATTAACAAAATATTTCAGATAATGGAGTACACTTAAAAAATATATATATATATTTTGAATTAGGTAGAACCAAGTTTAAAAATAATAATTTAGGGACCAGCACTGTGGCGCAGCAGGTTAAGCCACCACCAAGGGTGCCCACATGGCTCAAGTTCAAGTTCAAGTCTCAGCTCCTACATTTTTTTTTTTTAAGATTTATTTATTTATTTGAAAGTCAGAGTTACACAGAGAAGGAGAGGCAGAGGCAGAGACAGAGAGGTCTTCCATCTGTTGGTTCACTCCCCGATTGGCTACAATGGATGGAGCTGTGCCTACCCGAAGCCAGGAGTCAGGAGCCTCCTCCGGGTCTCCCACATGGGTGCAGGGGCCCAATTGGGCCACCCTCTACCTCCCTCCCAAGCTTAACCTGCAACACCATGGTGCTGGCCCCTCCTCCACTTCTGATCCAGCTCCCTACTTCTGATCCAGCTCCCTGCTACTGTGTCAGGGCAAGCAGCAGATGGTTGGACTACTTGGGCTCCTTCACCCACATGGGGGAACTGGATAAAGCCGCTGCCTCCTGGCTTCCGCCTAGTCCATCTCTGGCCATTGTGGCTATTTAGAAGCAGATGGAAGATCTCTGTCTCTCTTTCTCTGCAACTTTGCCTTTCAAACAAAATAAATAAATCTTTTTTAAAAAAAAGATTTAACTGATAAAAATAGTGCATACTCATGTTTATGGTATGTAAGATACCTTGAACACAGTATTTATACATTGTAGATTAGCTAAATCAGCTAATTAACACACACATCACCTAACGTACCTACCATTTCATGTTGGGAAGCGGGGAAGGAGAAGAATACTTAGAAGTTATTCTCTGAACACTGTTACAGTGTACAATGTGTTGTTACTAGCAACAGCCACCACTACGAACAAAGACTTCTTGAAAGTCTTCTTGACATTATGTATCTTTGAATCAACATCTCCCCAGTATCTCACTCAAGGCAACCCTGTCCTGTCTATGAGTCTGACTTTAAGTGGGAACACTTGGTATTTGTCTTTCTGTTCTTGGCTTATCTCATTTAATATCATATCCTCCAGGTTCATTCATGTTGATGCAAATAATAGGATTTCCTGTTTGTTTGTTTGTTTTAAGGAGACTGAATAGTATTTTATTGTGAATGCACCACATTTTCTTTATGTATTCATCTGTTGATGAACATGATCAACATGCAGGGTGATCTCATCTTGACTATTGTAAATAACGCTGCAATGAACAGGGGAGT